AATGAACCAGGATTGGTGATATGGGACAGATACATCAAAAAATATCTGAGTTAAAATTTCAGACTTTAATTGGTTTTGAGATATTTGTGTCCACAAATTGCCTCAGATTTCAATGTGCAAAGAAAATTGCCTGAAAGTGGGTCAATGGACCATTAAAAAAAACAAGACACCTATATCTTGAAATGTATAAGACATATAAAGCTACAATCATTATATATGTGCAAATATATTTGGACCATAAGATTTGTATTCAAGCCAGAGACAGTCGAGCAGAAAAAGTTCTAAAACGTAGCTGATTTGAGATGGAATGACCTACAACTAAGATATAAAACAAACTCTGACAAGCTTCCTGTTTAATCAGCAGCTCATTTGCATTTTCTTCCCATTTCTTTTTTGACCCTCTATTAGCAGAAGTGTCTTCCAGGCACTGTTGACCTCACGTGTTGACCTTATTACTGTAAACTGCGAGGGAGAAGTACCCAAGTATCATGCTGTGAAACCAAAATCACCCCTTCTCATTTTTTGCTGTGGCGCTTATGCTTGCTGCGACCTTTAATTGGAAATCAGACTAGAAGGGACTGAGCTCACCTGTTTTTGCAGCTCCTCCAGTTTGTGGTTGCGAGCGTGTAAGGCTTTACTGGGAAAGGCCCAGTAATAGTTGGATGTACCTACTCTCTCACAGTCCACCATGTTATCATCGACAAGGCTCTGCAGCACTTCCTTCACAGTCATGGGAGCTGAAATCAGCAGAGCACAAACATTAACATGGTGTTTATTTCTCCAGCGCTCAACTGCACGCCCGTGGAGTTGATGCCATTTGGGTACGATGCTTTCTCCTGATTTAAAACTGATTTATGGCCGGTACAAGCTAGGCAGTCTGTAGCCTTTATATCTGTAAATATAAAACGCATCTGATGCTGGGATTGACAGTGCACTCTGCAGAGGACTTAGAAGCCAAGTCATCATAAGGTCTCACTTTTTACTGCTGGAAATGTATGCTGCTCAAATTACAAAACTCAAACCCACACATCTGCAGCCTATCTGGCTGTTTCATACAGATCTGAGTGAACGCTGCATGAGAGGATGTAACAGAGCACAAGCTACATCTTGAACAGTGTCAGCGGTGAAATGTGCTCCTCCTACACGCTTTGCTCCACTGTTTAACTGAAAGAGCTTATCTGCTGAGAGGATGTGGACCCAGCAGCAGAAAGAATTGGATGGAAAACAGGGAACACTCTGGATGAATTAACCAAAGTCCATAAGTGCTCGTTTCTCTTTTTTTCATCTATAAGATTCAAGCAGCTTCATCTTATTCTGACTCCTATGTATGTTATTACCGCTCTTCCCCCTCCCATTCAACTAGCCCCTTTTGTCACATTTCCAACCCTTCTACAGGAAAGCGTCCCCCACAATGTAAATCTCTTATTGCCCCTTCCCCCCATCACGCAATAACAGGGGTCAGAAACATGTGCTTTTAATCATGGCAACGAGATCCAGTTTCTTTAGATTAATGTTGTGTCCATTTCAAAACAGAATCTCTCCTTTGTTCAGTCAAACACGCTCAAGAATTTCATTCTTCAAGACGATTTAGCAGCTAAAAATCTAATTTTGTAGTATTAGAAATTTTGCCTCAACCATCAGAAAGTCGGGCTGCAGAACCAAAAGCTTCCAAAAGCCTCTGAACTAAATGATTTCTGCTACTGATAGGTTTGGTTCTGCTTACACACACTAAAGATGGCAATAGCCCCGTCCTGGTTGCCATGGCAATTCTGTAAGCATGTCACCACAATGTTTTTAAGAATTCATAAATGTGCAGTGCACGCTGATGCTGTTTGTCCTTATGGTATTTAATTATCTCCATCTATTTGTCTTTTTTCTGTCATACTCTAATTCTCCTTTCCATTAATCATGCCTGGACCAACACACTGGTCAGTTTTCTATAATTTCAGATATCAGTCTTGCACTAATAACATTTACGGGTCACTTACAAGACTCAATTTAATTCAATTTTATATATATATAGCACTAAATCACAACAACGGTCACCTCAAGGTAAGGTAAAGACTCTACAATAATACAGAGAAAACACAAGAGGAAGCATTTGGCGACAGTGGGAAGGAAAAACTCCCTTTCGACAGGAAGAAACAGGACAAAAGACACACTGTGGAAAAGAGACAGATAATAATAATAACTACTGACTACATGCAGAGTGGTGTGTAAACGCAATGAAGGAAAAAAAGATCAGTGAAGAAGAAACACAAATTGCATCATGGAGAGCCTAAACCTACTGCAGCGTAACTAAGGGAGGATTCTGGGTCACCTGATCCAACCCAATCTATACACTTTATTAAAAAGGAAATTTTTAAGCATAATGATTATGAAGTAACATTAATGCAGAGTCAGGCACAAGATCTGTTTGTGCATGCCTCTTGTGCATCATTGTGAGTTGCTCAGCTCACTTTAAAAAAAAAAGAAGAAGAAGAAGAAGAAGAAGAAGAAGAAGAAGAAGAGGACGACGACAATGAAGAAGAAGAGCCCACTAACTCTAACACTTTGGTGTGAGACACCCGCTTTCGACCCATCTCACTCTGCCTAAACTAACTACACACGCATTAAGAAGAAGTCTCAAAGTGAGACCTTCATGTATATATATACACACTTTATAGTACAGCTGGATAGTCAAATATTTCCTTAACAAGACTCATCAGAAATGACAAGAACCTACATTTTGATAAAACAGTAACTGAAGATTTGTTTGTTGCTTCCAGCTGTTTCCTTTTCCTCTGAGTTTATTACAAACCAACATCACAGCAGCAAGATCACCTCATGAGCCATCTGGCTGGATGAAATATGAGGCTATTCTGGTAAGTGGATATATATATACAAACAAAATCAGAAGAAAGTCTGGTCTAGAAAAAATAAGTGTCTTCTAAAAATAGAGTGAAGTCTGAACCAACCTTTAAACTGAACTACTATAACAGAGGACTTCACCCAGTCACACACACAGTTTTTTTTTCTAAGCCTGAGCACTTTGACTAATATTGACACACAGAAGCTTCAAATTTTTCACTCACACTCCAATGAGCTAACACTTTGACATCCAGACTAGTGGAGTCAGGGATCGAACCACTGACCTTCTGATTGGAACTGTTGTTCTTTACTCACCTATGCCTTTTGACTTTGGGGCAATCTTCTCAATGTCTTTCAGCTGAAACACATCTTTCTGGGAAGAGAGCACAAGAACATGTTCCAGGATTTAAAAAACAAACAAACAAAATAAAAACTATAATATCACAGAGAAAGAAATTATTTAAAAACTATTACATCTCAAAGAACTGCTTCTGGATGGTAACATAAATAACATTTGCATAAACAGAAAATAAATTGATTTTCTGGATATTTTAGTTTGTGGTTTATCCATGTTAAGGACTGCTTAAGTATCTCATTTTCTGCACTTTTTTATTGCCGATTTAAATGTTGAAATCCAAGTTTCTAACTCTATATTACAGTGCATGGATTTAAACATTGAATCAAACACGTCATCTGCTGCCTGGGGGTGGGGGGTATGTTTAGTCAGGGATGTATTACATCACGCATGTATAATGGTTGAAAATAATCACATAACAGCAATGACCAGTATGAATAATAGGACACACAGTAGGGCAGAGCAGTGGGGATATGGAGGCTGGGTCACCTGCGATGGTAAAACTCACAGAGTCAAAGAAAATCTCCATCATGCGAGTTCTCTTCTCCTCCAGACTTAGTCCTTTCTTCTTTGACTGTAACAGGGGGTTAATGTTATTAATCTATATCTGAGGCACTGAGTTACTAACACTTATTATTTACGAGTAACAAGGAGCCAAAGGTAATAGAGATTAGAAGAATGACCTCTTGAAATCTTTCATCTAAACAAGTTGCTTATATATTCAGTGGTTCACTGTGAAGTAACTAAATGAAATAGACAGCTAGCAAGGGTATGACTGGTCCAATGACAGGTAATGTAAAGTTTGTAGCAGTTTACCAAATGTATGATGTGAAATACTACCGTAAATGCTGCTTTGTGAAAGTATCGTTAGCGATAGGGTATAAGCTTTTACTCTTTAACATGCTGCTGTAGCACAATCATTTCCCTTGTGGGATCAATAAAGTAACTGTCTATTTATCTAAGCTATAAGCTAGCTTACAAATGTTAGCAAACAACTACGTAAACGCCGGTGGTCTTTACAGGAGGTATAGCAGGTTAAGGTGCGCTTCTGCTTACCATTTTCGATGTAGAGCTCACCAACAACGACCACTGAGATTAACGTTTTGCCACCTGAGGGTAACACAGGGCTGTTGTAAAGTTTTTAATGTAAAGAAGAAAGATTAGGCGACGTATAAGCAGAGCGGGGACGCAGCAGTAGCGAATTTCCCGCGGAAGGCTGTGACGTAGCAATGTTGCGTTTACGGAACTTCAAAACTCACCATAGTCACCAGATGTTTTTTGTGTGCTTAGAGTTACTGTCTGTTTGATAGAGATTAAATAATAATTCCAAAATTCTGAATGCATTCAAAATATTTACTGTTAAATTGAAGCACTACTTTTACACTCCCCTAACTCTCTCAATCCTGTTTTACCAACTAACAGTATCCGGATAATGAATGCTTATGAAGGCAGCATTGGGGAGGAGCACTGTTTTTTGACTTCCGCTTATGGCTTTATAGCGCCCCCTGTCGTCTGATGAAATAAAAGGCCAAAGCAGACAGCCCTGAGCAACAAAAACCTTCTATGGTCAGAAATATCCACACCCTGGCTTTCCTTGGGTGGTTCCTCTGAAAGGGGCGTTTGTTGAGTAGACTTAAAGGCTTTATCTGTAGCCAAAGACTAAAAACCTGTTTGGGGCCATAAGATTAAAGTGATGTGCAAATATTTTTGAAATTACTAGTGTCATTCTTTATTTATCATATCTATCTAAATTCAGCTTATTGCAGCACATGTATTACACACAAAAGCACTATCATTCATTTCTATGGGCACTTTAATTCCATTTGGCATTACAAATATAAACAGGACAATGGAAAACAAACAATTTACAAGATCGTGTAGAAAATCGATGACCCGATTCTGGATAACAAATAATGACAGTTGTGTGCTTGAAGACAAACAAGGCTTTCTAATAGGAACACAGTGCATTATCACTTAACGTACACCTCGACTGCCAAACTTTCTATTGCTGATTGTGAAGGTAGACAAATTATGTGTTGCTAAAACACAATCTGTTAATCACTCTATAGATTTATCTGAAGTTATGAGAGCACATGGAGGAGTGACGGTGATCGCAGTTCTGCACCTCTACTTTCAGCGTGATGAAGAAACCTTTCAATCTAAACTTAATAGGATGCATCCTGCCGAGTTCATTCCAAGTATTTAGCTTTTCATTCAAATTCTGCAACTCGAGGGGTCTGCACACGATCACAGCAGAAATGTTAAGAGGCATCATACACAGCAGAAGCATATCAGGTGGCTTATGTTTGGTACCCTTAATTCATACAGCCGCACTTGTCAGCATACTGGGTTTTTTTTTTAATTCAAAGTGATGACACAGCTCACTGAAGAGCTTTCACATTCAAATATAAGTGAAACAGCGTCTCTGTTAGAAGGTGTTCAGCTGGAAACTGTTTCATACGCACAGTTCAAGGTGTTTAAGTAAAAACCGCATGCACAAAAACATCTTAATCATGCTCTTAAATACCCTGCTATACCTACAGAGGGTGGAACACTTATAGTGAAGAGGCAAAATGTAAAAATCCTTCAGAGCATTTAGCAGGAAGCTGTAGTCACTGCTGCTATAGATGGAATTTCATTATTTCTCAGGTGACTAAGGTACCTTTTACTTTAATTATGACTTTACTTAATACAGCCAGTGATTTGAGGAACAAGTGCAAAAGTATTTATTTATTTTCAGCCATGTGGCAGTTCAAAGCTCTACCATGTGGACCGCATTAAAGCCTTTTCAAATACTCCACATTAAGATGGAAGGTGAACGAGGTCTCAAGTGAGCACCAATCAGCAGCAGCCATTCGTGTAGGTCAGAGGTCATCTCGCTTCCCTCGCACCACTAATAAAGTCTCTCGTGTTAGTTTGGGGAGGGAGAAAGGTCAAACAGATGGCACAATGACAGCAAGATTCAAGAGTGAACAGGTGGGGGGGGAGTGCAAAAAACTTCCAGTTGCTCCGTACTACTGCGTGTTTGTACATATGTACACTGTACAGGCTTTGTGTCGAGTGGCTACTGCAGGTAGCGGTAGACTTTGAAGCAGTGGTTGCCAGAATCGGCGACCACGACGTGTCCGTCTGAAGTGAGCGCCAGTCCCTGCGGGCCGTAGAGGGGGTCTGCTGACGTGTTGATGTAAGAGAGGAATGAACCGCTGCCATCAAACACCTGAGAGAGAGAGAGAGCAATATCATCACCGCTGGAAATCATTCTTTTTGTGGAAAATACAACACACCTAGTTATAAAGTTGAAAGAAAAAAAATAATGATTTCATGATTATGGATGATGTAGTGACCAAAATAGTTTTTAGGAAGCAACAATTGTTGCCTTCTATTGTTTTAACCCTTCTGAGACTCAAGCTTTTGTATGGGATAGATGTGATGCAAGAGGTCTGTGAAATACAAGGTGCAGAAAAGCTAAATGGGAGATCTCCATCTGAGGACGCAGGGTCTCAGGAGGTTCAAAAACATGTATTTTAGACACCAGCGTGCAGTGATCAGGCCTAACATTATGCCTAATATTGTGTCGGTCCCCCTTATACTGCCAAAACAAGTCTGACCTGCCGAGCCATAGACTCCATTACACCCCTGAAGGTGTGCTGTGGATTCTGGCACCACGATATGAGCAACAGATCCTGTAAGTCGTGAGGTCAGACATCGATATATTGGACTTCTTTGCACATCCCGCAGATGCTCGATTGAGATCTGGGTAATTTGGAGGTCAAGTGAACACCTTTGAACTCTTCGATGTGCACCTCAAACCCTCCCTAAACCATTTTTGCTTTGCTAAAAGAGACCACATCGGTCTGTGAATGCAGTTTCCATGAAAAGGTTTACGTGGTCTGCAACAATGCTTAGGTAGGTTGTACGTGTCAAAGTAACATCCACATGGATGTCAGGACACAAGGTTTCCCGGCAGAACATTGTCCAGAGCATCACAATGCCTTGAATTCTTCCCACAGTGCATCCTGGTGCCAGTTGTTCCTCAGGTAAGTGATACGAACCCGGCCATCCATATGATGTAAAAGAAAACCCGATTCAGACCAGATCTTTGCTTTGGGGTCCAGCCCAGTGTTGGTGTTGGGGGTCAGCATGGGCAGCCTGACTGATCTGCAGTTATGCAGCCTCATACACAATAAACTGATGCACAGTGTTTTCTGACACCTTTCTGTCAGAACCAGGGTGAACGTTTTCAGAACTTCAGTAGTTCGTCTGTTGGATCGGACCTCACAGGCCAGCCTTCGCTCCTCACATGCATCAGTGAGCCTTGGCTGCCCATGAGCCTGTCGCTGCTTCACCACTGTTCCCTCCTTGGACCACTTTTAAAGGATACCGGCCACTGCAGACGGGGAACACCCCACAAGAGCTGCGGTTTTGGAAACCCAGTCGTCTGATCAGTGTATAAATATACTATTAATGGTGTTTTGGTAACATTTCATAAGCCATTATGAGGCAAGATTGTAATGTTGGATGCCACTTAATAAAAAAAGAAACAGAAGTTTGTATTAACCGATTCTTCGAGGAGTAGAAAGGATTCATTCTGCGTACCTGTATCCTGCTGTTGCCCCAGTCGGCTACTATGATGTTTCCATTGACGTCCACCGCCACTCCTGTGGGGGCGTTGAACTGGCCATTGCCTTCACCATTGGAGCCAAATTTCAGCAAGAATTCTCCTTCTGTGTTGAACACCTGCAGTATGGTTTCAGAGAAGCAACAGCAGAGAGAGAACACTTCTTTAAAAAAAACAAAAACGCAACCAGCACGTATTCACATAACAGAACACTGATATCCAGACCAGGACTCACTGTTGTGTGCATCAGGCCTGGTTTACAGTCTGATAAATGCAGTGAGATACATTTAAATAAATAAGAAGCAGATGCTGATGGATTTGAGACCGTATTCTTAGCCGATGGTTTCCTCTTTGCACAGACTGTCTGCTCAGACATGATTGGTCAATTCTACACTGACTATAAATGGACTCAGAACTTGTTGGAATGTCATAAAATCCTCGTCCACATGACAAATTTCCCACCTTCGACTGATGAATGTGACAATAGCCTTTTAATGTGAATGATACGAGTAGAAAACACGTTGTAAATCACGTTTTGGTGGCAGCTGCTAACATCTGTATTCCTGTAACACACAGACTGCTCTGGGAGTTCACTTGCCTTGACTGAGTGGTTGTGGAAATCTGTCACAATGATCTCGTTGTTGTTGTTGACAGCAGCAAAGTGAGGGCCTGGATTAGAAATATGAAGAAGATTTTAGGTATCATTTGTACAGTTTTGCTTGACTGTGACAAAACAAAAAGTCAGAAAACTCCTACATGACAGGTAGAATAGAATAGAACTCAACTTTATTTTCATTGCACATGTCACAAGGACATATTTGTGGAGGACATGCAGCTTCAAAAACGAATTCAGCAACAGACAAAAAAAATAAATAAAAATAAAAGTACACTGATTTTTAATGCTTTAATGTTAGAGCATGACCAAAATATTGGTCAATAAAGTTGGATTGGAAAATATTGATATATCAGTCAGGTAATTGGCCATTTTCTGATATATTGCCATCAACATTTATAATAGCCATAAATCCAACTTTAAAAAGTAAAGAAGACCGAAGCACCCTTTAATCATGCTTTGAGTGTTGCTGTTGCATAGTTTATCCACCAGAGGGCACTCTGCAACTTCCCTGTTAGCCACAAGCAACCAGCTGATTTGAGGAGAGTCAGGCAGAGCGTGAACATTTTTTAAAACAATAAAACAAAATTATTTTAAACTGAATTGCCATATAATCATAGTAATAACTCAAATAACTACACGTAATACATGTTAGGGAAATCTGTTTATGTTTCATGTGTCAGAAAAGAAAAGAAAAGCTATCAGACGACATATTAGACAAAATATCGGTATCAGTGTCAGTCTTAAAACTCCTACATCTGTCGCTCAGATTAAATGTATGACAAAAAACAAACATACAACCAACTCATAGCATGATTAACGAGACACCATGCTGTTTTAGGGACACTTTCGTTTATAATAATGGACGAATGTGATGGACTAAAGTTGCTTTTTCCATATTAATGACCCTCATGAGGTCAGTGCAGCTCCTCTTCATTCAGCATGCAGGTCGGAGAAAGACTGAATTGTGTTATCTTGGAGCAGTGCACTGTATTACCATTGAGTGTACCTGCAAACTGCCTGTCACCGTTGCCACGGTTACCAAACTTGGTGACCAGCTTGCCGTTGACCTGGAAGATGAAGACGCAGCAGGACTTGTTGTCGACCACGATGATGTGGCCGTTTCTGTCCACCGACACGCCTTTAGGACCCATCAGCTTCCCCGAGCCGATCTTGTTCTGGAGAGATTTTATTTCACGAAGCCACGCGTGAGGAAATGAGTACTTACAATCACAAAAATACAAGTAATGGTCAGTATTACTGTTTGCATTAACACATAAAACCCCCGAAGCGGTCTTCTGTGTGTTTGCACATAGACTGAGAGCACACCCTAAGTCCTATTAGGGACATCCCACTCAGGAAACCAGTGGTTTTTAACCCGAAAATCTGCACTCTTTTAACAGAAGATAAGCAGGCTGAAAAGGGGAAGTCAAAACCAGCATGAGTGAGTCTCTTAACGCGTGAGAAATTTGCAAATGAACTGTGAGAAAGTGTAACCATCTGACTCAAGGACAAAAATCAGCCTGACCTTCTGCACAGCTGCAGTGGCACTGGAGCCCACCCGGGAACATGCCGACTATTGCCGTTCTGAGGAAAAATCTACTGAACGACCCAGTCCCAGAGATAAATAAAACTCACCTTAAACTTGCCCTCGCTCGAAAAGATGCTGACCCATTTGTTGTCATAGTCCGCGATGATGATGTCGCCGTTGGGGTGCACGGCCACACCTGTCGGCCGCTGCAGCTGACCCGGAGTCCTGCCCCGGATGCCGAAACGACTTCTGAACTGGCCGTCGTTGGAGAAAATCTGGATTTGGTTAAAAAAAATAAAATGAAATAAAATAAAACACTATGTTAAATATTAGATGGTTTTCATGTATTATCTCAGAGAACAGGCGCAGATGCTTCAGGGAATTCGTTCTCACCTGCACACACTGGTTGTTGCTGTCTGCTATCAGCACCTTCCCCTGAGAGGAGGCAGCCACTCCCTGCAGGTTCGTGAACTCCCCTTTGTTTCTTCCCTTTGTGCCTGTGAGACACGAAACATGACCATGTTCACCATGATGATGACGACACGTACGTTTTCTACATGTAAAGTCTATTGGTTACATAGTAAAGGTAACCTGATGCTCAATTTTCACTCCAGCAGTAATAAGCTCTCTGTTGTGTAAACATTTACTTCACATAACCGTGAAACAGACGTCTCCAAACCATATTCACTAGTATTATCTTACTTACATTGTTTTTTTTGGTCTGTTTTTGGGTAGAAAAAGTAAGAATTGCAAAAGGACAGCTGTTTATTGAACCTTCTACCATTTTTTATGTATTAAAATAATATTTAATACAAGTATTAGTTATTATTTCTTGCTACATCTGGGTTTTTGTGGGGAAAACAACAAAAACTATCACATTGATGATGTAGACGTCACAAAAACTGAAGCATGTGACATGTCAGGGTTAAAATCATATGAACACAAGACTCTAAATCCTCATGTTCAAGAAGCCGAATTAATCATATTATTACTGAGCTTTTGTCACTTTTTAAATTGCTCGTAAATACTTGTTAATCAGCTATTTAACTGAATTTTCCCTAGTGCACGGATTCCCAAATTGTGGGTCACGGCCCCCGACAGGCCGTGAAGATACTGGAGGTGGGCCACAATAATAAAAGAGGATAATGGTAATGGGAGGGCTTAGTTTGGGATATTGGTCATTACTCTGGCCTAAATTTACCTCTCCTGTATTGAAGTTTGTGTCTCAGTGGCAGGTGGGTCACACATTCGCCTTAACACTTTGAACATGACTTGGTAGCATTAGCAATTTATAGCCAGCTTGTGTTGTTTATGCATTTTGAATAAACTTTTTTTCCCCACTGATAGCTCCTCACAGTGTAGACTACACTTTACGTCCTCCTTTGCGGTTCAAAGGAAGTGCTAAGGTTTGATGTTCAGTCCTCCGGCTTGGAGCCGGTCTTACCGATTCTGAAGATAAGGTCGTCCTCAATGGGATTCTCTTTCCTCCTCCCTGTGCTGTACATACTGGCCGGCCTCTTGATGGCCTTCTGCTTGACGTGTCCGCTGCCTGGAGACTTGAGCCTCTTCTTAACGCCGTCTGAAGTCGGTGACACGTCAATGGATTTGGTGGCCTTTATCTTAAAGGGGCTCCCTTTGATGTGTTGGTCATATAAGCGCAGAGATAAAGTACACGTGCCCTCTTTAGGAGCTGTGAACAGGTACTCATAAGTGCCGTTCTTGTTGTCGAGCACGTCTCCGTCACACTTGCTGCCGTCAGGCGAAAACATTTCAGCGGCGATGACTGCGTTGCCCATCTTGCACAGCTCTCCATCTTTGTCCTTAGTAGTGATGGTGATGGAGGTGGGCACGCCTACCACACAATGCCGCAGCCCCTCGCCTGTCGCCACAGTCTCGGAGGCAACGGCGTTGGTGGTCACAATAGTGCCCAGGTTGTGGATGGACTTTTTTAGCCCTTCCGTTTCTACGAGGAAGTCCAGCTGGTTGTTCTCTCCGGGCTGCAGCGGAAGCTCCTGGCTGGCCAGCTCGACGAGACGCTCGCCCATCTGCTTCTTCACCAGCAGCACCTCGGCCTCGGTGCCCTGGCTCAAGGCCTGCTCCGTGAAGTTGCAGCTACTGGTGATGCCCTCTTGGCCCTGCAGCAGGGTGTCCAGCTGGGCTTGGAGCACCTACACATGCATGCATCAGGGGGCAGCAGAGAGACACTGAGCTTAGATAAAACTTTATGAAGCTTTCAAAATTATTATTTTTCTTGCAGTTATTCTGTTGATTACATTATACTAACAAAAAGAACATTAGCTTTGCCTTTGTGTCCGCTTTTAAGATCAGATCAGGTTATTAGTACTTGGCAATCCTCAGCTTGGGAGCAAATATATGGTATTAATTAAGGATTGCAGGGATGTTAGTTTATTAAGCTGCTGGTAAATATAATGGAATAAAAATGTGATTTCTTATATTACCTAATTTTAATTTGTAAATTAGTCACTTTACTACGACCACACTGCTGTTCTTTAATCGCAATCTTCTTTCAGGCACTCTGATAATTAAATAAGGGCTGCTTTGATTGTAATGCTGGATATTCAGATACGCCCCCATGTGGAAGCTGCCACAGCTTTGCTGGTTTCCTTCAGCTTTTTGGGACTCAAAAAGCTTACCACCGCTTGCTTGTACGGGTGGTAGAAGCAACGTGCAGTAAACTGTAGGTATCTGATAACCAGATATAAAACACCTTCATACAGAAATGACCTTTTCACTGCAACTGCAGATAAAGTGTGGGTGCGTTTAATGCAGGTGTTTAAACTGGTCTGGTTACCTGGTAACTGAGGATGAGGAACTGATCAAATATCCAGAATTAATCAAATCTTTAAGTCATCCTATTATCTCATTTTACAGACGAACCCTCCTGAGCAATGACGCGCTAACCTAAGCCACATTTAACCGCTAATAACCAGCTTTACTAACTAGTTGCTACTGTCTTTGTTTACTAAGAGCGCCGTGACAAGCTGAACTCGGGTTTTTGCGGCTGACCCTGCTGCTGATGTGTTCTTGGAGTTCTCAAGGCGAAAAACAAAAAGTGATTTACTAACATGCTCGACACGCACTTTCCTGCGCCGATGTTTAACGCCGCAAAACGAAAACAAAAACAAAAAGCAGCGCATCTTATATTCTGCGCTTGATACTGAAGCGAACAGACTGCGCATGTGTTTAGAAAGCAGCGCAACTTCTGTAAATCCCCCGTGAAACCGAACACACCTGTGAGCGCTGTGTGGGGGATTGCGCTCACACGTTAAGTTAATCTGGCGCTAAAAAAGTGCGACATTAACGCAGGCTGCACACGTTAAAGCACCGAGACAAACTCACCGGCGTCCGGCCGTCATCACACTCCTCTGCTACTCCCAGAGACGCCATAGCGTCCAGTGTTTCACCCACACAGCTCATCCGCGCAGTAAAACTAAGACTCTTTGTAACATTGTAGGACGAGAAATTCACGGTGAAGTGACAAAGTGTTTGCGGCCCGGACTGTACTCCCTCCCTACGCGCGGCACGCCCAAATCAAGAGCGCACGCGGGACACCGGCTTCATGTAGCAGGAGCAGCAGCACAGCTTCCCCGTGGGCTGCAGTGCTGTGACCGATCATCAGCCACTCAGTTGTAAATCATTAGCTGTGCCCATGTGATGCAGCTCCCCGAGGGAGTCAGCAGGCTTTTAACCCAAACGGCTGATTGGCTCATGGGTCAATGCAGCGCACCAGCCCCCGCTCCGGCACCTCCTTCCTGTGGAGAGGCAGTCTGTGCCATACTGCAAATTTATTTTACTTTCTATCCGATCAATACCAAATACTGATATCGATACTTTTAACTCATTTAGACAGTTTATGCCGGAGAAGCATGACTCATCATACATTTGCGATTCGGAACAATTTTAATGACCACTAAATCACATGATTTTTACTTTGTACAATAATTCCTTAACACAACCAAATACACCTTTTAGTTTTTCATTCATATTTTGAAACAGTTATTATTATTATTATTCTTGTTGTGGTCTCTAAAGCACTTTGGGTCACCTTCTGTTGTTTAAATGTGCTGCATAAACTAAATAAACTCTACATTCAACACAAAAAGCTTATCACATTCAGCCATTTTTTTAAAATACAATTCAACTTTAGGGTATATATTTTTTTCCCCTTTCCAACAGAATGATCTATTTTAATAATTAACACAATTATGTGGGCTGAATATATATTTTTGAATGTTTGTATATAGTCTGGAGGTAATCAGACTGCTGAAGTAACAACTGTGATGGACACTTTGGAGTGGCATCAGTCGTGACTGCCACATTACTTTCACCATGACATGATCTGCATGGTTATTCTTTGGCTCACTGAATGGCAGTGACAGTGGGCTCTGTCTCTGTCTACCTTCATTTGGCAACTAAGTCACATGACCACAGGACAACAACAAACACGGTGAAGCAAAGTGTGCCTGCATGAGAGGAGCGGTGTTTGCGCCTACATGTCTGCTGCTTGATAAACGAGAATAATCTACTGAGCTTACAGCAGAGAAACAAACAGACGCATCAATCCTCTCGTGTCAGTATTGGGCCAGTAAGAATACCAGTGTTGATATTGATACTATCTATATTATTTGGATAGCCCTGACCTGTTGAAGGACCCGTGACAGGTGAAAAGATTACTTTAGTCTGTGCTCCAAAATCTCCAGATCAGGCTCATTTAAGTGTTTCACATTTGTCCTATTTGGTTGTTACATTTTAGCCAAAGTCCCAGCTGTGCTTCGCTCTGCACTCACCTTTTGCTTGAGGCCATAGTTGACCTCCAGCTCCATGAGTAGAACGCTCTTGCGGACATTGAGGGTCTTCTGCAGCTCATCGAAGGTCGCGTGGATGTCGTCCTCGATGGCGCTCTTCTGATTGGTCAGCTGCTGAAGAATCTCTGACAGCGTCTGCAGGGCTGAGTCGATCTCTGGTAACCTGGAGGCAGTCGAGTAAAATGTCAAGGTCGTGTGACAGAGCTGGAGAATCATCACTGCAGTGCAATATGACAGTATTTACATAATAATATTGCTGCTGCTGCCTACCTCTTCTTAACAGCATCTAGCTGGTGGTGCAAGGAGGCCTTGTGCTGTTCCACTACGTCTTTAAGAGGCACGGTCGGGTGCTCTCCGTGTTCGCCGCTCGTGCACTCCTGACACATGGCTGTCTCACACGGAGGACAGTAAAACTCCATCACCTACAAATCAGGAAAAAGCAGGGATCTGAATTTATAATAGGCTCGAGTCATAGACCCATTTATCCACATTAATGCTGAGGAAATAAACCATCTTCCTGATCCTGCATGCTTACACACCCCTTTAATGTCTCCATCTCATATCTGCCAACTCTGCATCTCCAGACTCAGGAGTCCTGTCCTATTTCCTGCTTTTGTTGGGGACACTGCTCTGCTGTGTCACTTTATCAGTCTACTGCACAAACTTGCCCATCAATAAATAATGTTCTTTGCTTTAAAATGATCTCGACCTCTTGAATCACGGCACCGTCAGCTGGTTTGATATTCTACTCCACGCTGAAATACCCAGACAGATGTGGACGAGACTGCTATGAAATTATTGTGTACAGGCAAGACAGACGCTCAGATTATGAAACATAATGACTTGGTGATCTCCTGACTTCACCCTCAGCTCCACTCTGAACATCTATAACCCTAACTAAATGTTAAAGCCGACTTTGCTGTCAGGTGTCAGTGTGAGGAGCTCTTACGCTGCCTCCATGGTTTGGGCAGGAGAGTAGCTGGCCTGTAGCCACAGTGGTGATGTTGTTGAGAGCGGCGGCCTCTTGGCTGCAGCTGCCCGGCGCCCGCTGCAGCACGTCCATCAGGTTGGTGATGAAGAAGTTATTCTGCAACGCCGCCACACCCTTCTCCGGCAGGATTGAGGTCTGGCGGCACACGGGGCACGACAGTGTGAGGCTGTGGGCCGGGATATAATTCTGCAGGCACCTGCAGGAGGACGACAGGTGTATTAAAAAGGTTGTAGTTTCAAGATGTGGTGCTTTATCACCTGACATAAAAAAAAACCTCTTAAAGCTTTATTCTAGCAGTCCATTAACAGCTTATTTGTCCTTCAAGTAAAAGAAGAACAGAGCAGGTCAAAATCCTGTCTTTGAGACCATCTAGTGGTTGGAACGATGATACTCTGACAGCGATTTGCAGCAGCACTTATCAACGACATCTGTGCAATGTGGTATATTCAAATGCAATGACCGTGCCATAAATCCTGTCATTGTGAAGCTTTTAATGTATATACAGAAATTCCATTAAATTTAGTGTTTTATATTATACTATTCAAATTATTTAAAGTCAATATATATATATTTATATTTTTAATGCAGTAACACCTGCACGAGTAAACAAGCACAGCTAGAAACTACACAGAGAGGCTACAGTGCTACTCCCTGCCCTGCCACCATAAAAACGCCCGCTTTTTTTTACCACAATGAGTATGTAACTTTATCCAAAGTTATATTTAAAATACAATAATAAATAAAGCACATGAAAAACAAACATGGCAGAGAATACTTTAAAATCCTGCCACGCACACAAAACATATATGTGAAACTATACTGTTTATGCATGTAGCTGCTCTGCTTTTCATTCAGCTCATCTTAATTCTCCTTTATTGAACTACATTTACTGATATCATCAATGACACATATATGTTGTCCATTGTGCAGCAGTCTTATTTTTACATGAAATAAATAAGCTTGAGGTAAATAAGTGTTTTGTCACAGCTTGTCTAGCCTCCAACAGACTCTTTGTCGGTTTGCTGAGGACGTAATAAACAGTGACCCAAAGATGATCATCAAATCACATGTAAATATAGTACATGACAGCTCATATGAGCTTTAATCTAGTCAAACAAAGGTAAATGGTGGAGCTGAATATTTTAATGTTCATCTCAGCGTCTATGTGTGAAACACAGTAGTTATGCCCCACAGAAAGAGTTAGAAATGACTGTATATTGTTCAGCTGCACACTGATGCTCCAGAAACAACCAGAGCAAAGAGGCAGGCGCACACCGTGAACAGTTTGTCTTTTGTGACAGAAACAAAGGCTGCTTAACAGCGAGGATGACACCAACACACCAGAGGCAACAGCAGCGATGCAGACCTGTGTCCTAAAATAACACACAAGTTTAAAGCAATGAGATATTCATTTAAAAATCTGTTGTTATTATTTTTATTACTGCACCGTTATAGGCTGCATCATGTGTCTGAAATCATAAAACAGTACAACACTTACAGCACTTTGGAAACTCCACTCACCGCTCACAGAAGGTGTGCAGGCAGGGCAGGACTTTGGGGTTCTCGTAGCGGTCCAGACATATGCTGCAGATCAAGAACTGCTTGTCAATTTGGCGGACGACAGGACTGGGGATAGTGGAGCCTTCACTGGCCATCCTAAAGCTCTGGCATAGAAGTCCCTCTTCCTCTTACCCTGCACCCTGCGGAGCGACACGGAGGGAGAACAAAACCGGTGAGGACGTAAACACAGTGGCATCACATAGGATCAAACGCACAATGAAGATCTTGTGGTGGTGAGCGGGACTCTGTGGGGCTGCAGAGATCAGAGTTTGAGGCCGAAGGCAAAGACAAAGTACTTTCTTCCTTCCACAGAGGAAATGCAAAAATACACAAAGAGACACATCAATCAGCGCCTGTGACCAGGCAACTGCAAACAGCCACTCAAACAGGACATGAAGATGAAACTCTCTCTCTCTCTCTCTCTCTATATAATAATATATATATATATATATTTTTTTTTTTAAGATTACCAGAGTGCTGATATCGTTAAAAATAGTCTGATTCAGGGGTGTCAAACATAGGGCCCAGGAACCAAAAACAACCCGGCAGAGTTTCCAATCTGGTCTACTGGACAGCTTTGGAAAATGTGAAGGAAGGGATAGATTCTGGACTTTTTAATGTAATTTTGGGAGTTTTACAGCTTTTCCTTTTCATAAAGTCTTCCCTCATTTCCATTCATAATACACCAAAGTAACAGAAGAAACAATTCAGTGACAGAACCTGCCACTTTATTCACTACTATAGAAATTTCTGGGTTGTTTTAATAAATTAATCTTTTTTTATATAGTACTTTAAAGAAAAACATTTTCTGTGAAAAAAGTTGCTCTTTTTAAAATTACAGGTCAGCCTGGGAAGTGAGCTACAAGAAATCTTACAGTTTACAGATTTATTTCTTACATTTTAAGTCCAAAGAGTCATGAAGACAAGATTTCTTTCATTTTTGTAATACTAAGATATTTCAGTTAAACATCTTTACACTGACAGAAAGGGGAGCTTCACTGGTCTGGCCCACTCAAGACTAATGTGGGCAGTAAGTGGCCCACAGTATAAAATGAGTTTGTTATCCAAGCTCTAATCAGTGCACGGTCAAGAAAATAAATGCTCTCTATAGTATAACACATATTTATCCTGTGACCCCTGTGGTGGGTCTCAACCCTTATGTTGGTAACCGCTGCAGTAGCAGAGCAGCACCTGAGCTGCAGATGTGTTTGTCATGAAAAGGCACTTTAAGCACTAAATATTTGATGATGTGAAGTGAAAGCAAGGCACTCTGCGTTCAGCACACATTAGTCAAACTACCAAGACAGCCGAGCAAAACTATTTCCAACTCGGCCCTCTGCTTTATCCCAGACAGCTTCTCCTGGCATCGTTTCATCCCTGCGATATTCCTGTTACATTATCCGGCAGCTAACTTAGACACGGAAAGTGTGTCAGTGCTTTTATTGTCTCATCACATTCAAGTTGGCCACAGAAACAGGCCACCTCTGCTGCTGGGAGGAAACCCCGAGGGACTGCACTCCTTTCTACAGTGCACGCTCTTTCTCCTCATCCCGTTTCCACTTAATCGCTCTCCTTTAGATACACATCTTCTCTCATATTCCTCTCTGGAAGCAGACGTGGGAGCCTGTAATGTTTTAAAGAAGCTCTCAGGCAAACTTCTCAGTATGCTAGGTGAATGGAAGCAAGCTCAGTGTTACTGCAACTAATATAAAAGCAGCAAGTTATCAACTGAGACTCATCACCAAGCTAATCTATCACTAAGAGGATGACCTACAGTAATACATATGTTTAGAACATAAATGAAAAGACACAGAAAATAAAAGCATCTGGCAGGATTCCAGCACAGACGTGCACGAACACAAGAGCTCAGATCTCTCTTAATGACTCACCAGCTCCACGGAGCAGATTAAGCAGATGCTCACAGCATCAAATATGGGACTGCTCATACAAAAATAAAAAAATATGTAAATCCTGCAGAAAGCCACAGCAGGAAAACAGAAGCAGCGCCGCGCTGACGGTGCACAAGGTCGCAGCAGTCCCACAGCGCTTCACTCTTACATAATCAGATCCGCACCAGCTAAGCGGAATAATTCCTGCTGGATTGAGCCGTCATCCCACGCACAGAAGAGGGCGCACATGACAAAAAGGGGGGCGTCAAAGAAGGAATTTAAACCAAATCAAAGCATCTTCTGTCATAGAAAGACTGTGAGAAACACTCATGCACAACAAAAGTGATTCCAGGACAACAGCAGCTATTCCAAAGAGTTTCCTATAATCATTAGAGGATTATTAAAAACTTACAGTGATGCATTCACGGAACGATCAACAGGCGTCATCCACACAAGTGCACTTCAAATGAATGAAACACAGACAGCCTTCATCTTCTGAATCGTCCTTCAACTCATACCGGCTCTGACAGGAAATGATGCTTCCCTCCAGGTTGCAACAGAGAGCCAAACACGAGACGCCAGTGTGTGTGTGTGTGTGTGTGTGTGTGTGGGAGAGAGAGAGAACCAGCCAGTGTTTATGGGCGTGCACACACGTGAGCAAAGTTAAGGAGGAGCAGTTCAGCCGGATTGTATTTCAATTTTCTACATCATGTCCCCCCGCCCGCCCGCCCTCACTCCCTGCGTTACTTTCTCTCCTCCCATCACTTGCATTCCCTGCTCGCTCTGTCTCATCCATTCATCTCCCTCCTTCCTCTCTGTCTGAAGTAAATGCTGCTTCACTGCAGCGCGGTGAGCAAGAAAGCGCAGCATCCGGAGCATGTGAGCGAGCACTGGCTGACGCCTGGTTACCTAACAAATGGGAAAAAAGGGACAGCACTTAAGGGTCTCCGTCACAGCCAATAGAGATGAAGCCACAGGGATCTTTCTGCGTGCGAGTGTGCGTGCGTGCAGGCTGCTGACTCACTGTACATGCAGAGACTGAAAATGAGCACAAGGAAAAGTCCCACACTGTATATGAAGAGAGGGAGGAGAGATGACAGAGAGTAAACATTGCAGAGAGAAAGGAAGTACGGTGAGACGTGTGCTTCAAAATGTGGACACAAAGGACACACTGCCTCTCCAGTTTAAGAGACAGAAATAGAGATAGGTGATAAAACGCTGAGGTGAAACGCATTTTCTGCCTGTTTTTCCTCACTGCACTGCAGCTCTGTCGCAGCTCTTTGGTCACTGCTTTCTGCATACGCAAGAATGGATGACTTAAACAATGACACAAAGCTTTAACCTTCAGACAACCTCAAACACCGACCACTCTGTGGACATCATCTGGGGGGTTTTCCACCAAGAAAACCGGAGGCGATTTGAGTATTTGGTTAGTAAGAGGACAGATTTAAAGGCCTAATGGTGGGTGACTCCAGCAGGTCCGTCACCGTACTCTCTGAAAACTGTTCAGTGGTCAGAGAGTGAGACAGAGAGAAACCACCAGCTTTCCAATTAGTGGATGGCCTGCTCTACCTCCAGTCCATCACAGGTCCAACACACAGAGCACATTTAGAATCACCAATTAATTCATCCATCAGTCTTGTCTCTAGACTGTGGGAGGAAGCTGGAGTACCTGGACCGATAGCAGTTATTTTGCTTCCTTGGCACTAACAATTCCGAGGGATACTGTGTTGAATACACATGAAAAAAAACTGGCTGCAAGTATGATGTTACATGATATTTGCAGCACCCCCCTTCAGTTCTTAAATTTTCTTATTTCAGTTCCACGTCAAACACAGTTGTGTCGATGGAGTTTTTTCACAGAGTTAAGCATGCCTGGCAGCTCCACAGCTGTTCCAGTGATCTCATCTCAGCCTCTGCCAAACTCAGTGAGCTCAGTCAATCAGAGGACGCAGAACAAGAAAACATAATGCGGGAAAAAGAATGAAATGCTGTGTGGGTGCACACCAGTGAGAACAATCAGTCTCTAAAGCTTCATCTTAGATTCAGCACTATGAAGGATAAGGCCGTGTGATCTTATATGTTCTGTTCTGACTTGCAGCTCAGTGGCACTCGGACCCAAACCGGTTCCTTCATTTCTGGCATTAGATTCATTACTAGTATTCATTCTTTATCGATACTGAAGTTTATAAAGTTTGGTTGTTTCTGTGTTTAGTGTTTTACTCGTTGACTGTACTTAGCTGCTGTATGGATTTGCTGCCCTTCTTGGCCAGGACACTGTTGTAAAAGAGATTTTTAATCTCAACACTTTATTTTCTACTGGTTACAAAGATACATTTACTAAATCAGTCTTCGGCCGAATGGACAGTATGTTATATGGCAATTTTTTTTTGCTAAATTTGGCATAATTTCTATTAAAGAAAATTTTACAATATTACCGCACATGTCATTTAAAGAAATCCAGGCATATAATAATAAAAAGAGTTCTCCACGATCCTAGTAGTGTTTAAAATCTATTCACTGAGTGGTTATAGAGGCTGCCTTCGATTTGAATAATGCAAATCACAGCCAGCGAACATGCCTTAAATAGTTTGCTTTTGCTTCCTTAAAGGCACAGGCTGAAATCAAACCTGTCTCTTAAATGTTCAAACTGATGATGTATTTTTGATGCTCTTAAATGCTCGACTATATCAATAGTGTTTGTAAACAAAGCAGAAAAATGCAGATATTTTCAGTTATGGTGAGCAGTCTAACAGGTCACATGGTTTACTATTTTTAATAATCCATGTAAATCTCTGCAATGACGCCTTTAAACACACTGTGCAAACTGAAAAACTGCAGCATTACATTGCTAGGATTTAAGGAAGGCAACATCAGGTTACATCAGGCCCGACTTGGAGCCAACACACAGGAGTAAATATGTCAGATAACCTGTTTAAGCTGCTGTAACGTTCACGCCAACACCATTATCCCTCACAAACAAATAGCAGCAAAGCAACTCAAACTCAAAAACATTTCAAACTTCTATAGGAGAGATTAATAGAGAAAATAAAGTTGTAGTTTTCAACCATTTCCACTCACTCACCATGACGAAGTAGAAACACACACTGTTTACTGCGTTTTACTTTATAAGCTGCTTTCTGTGTTACCCTGCCGTCTAACCCGCAGTTCTTTCCAGAGCACCGACTCGAGCTGTTTCCACCGCTTCTCTCGGTTTCTAAACACACAAAACGCTGCACAGTGACGACACTGCACAGGCTGACTGATCGCTTTCAAATTGCAAACAACAAGTGTGACGACAAGAAAGATGGTTTCTCGATTTTCAGTAAGTATGACCACAGTGTTTTTGGTTTGACGCACTTCACCTGCCCGTTACTGAGCTATTAATGTCATTTTTATGATGGAAAAGTTTGTCAGGTCCAAGAGTCCGGTCACAGGTGGGTTCACTGTTGTGTCAGCTGGTTATGAAATCGACTGGGGGGAAAAAAAGAGTCCACAGAGCTACTTTACTTCTCCTTTATCCAAGATCAGTAAATTGAAGTAAATTTGGAGTTCAACACTCGTAAAAAGAAGACACATTTTGAAAGAGGTTGTGTGAATTCAAACTTGGTTAATACTCAGTGTGATGTTAGGTGCAAGATAAGCCATGACACAGTCAGCATATCAAGCACATTTCTCTGCATTACGTACAAGTCAGGAAAAAAAAAGGAAGCGAGTCCAGCTCTGTCTGATGTGGTCAGAGGTGGGCCTGCTATCGCTTTCCAAGCTTTTATGCTATATGGTAATATATAGAGTTGTGCAGGGATTTCACTGAAATGTTAAATGTGATTTGGGACAGACATCCTCTCTGCTTTTACGATTAGCCTTCCTTTTTGATAACGCGTTAGTCAGGGCTCAGTCAGGTGACCCTGAACCCTCCCTTAGTTATGCTACAATAAGTCTGGGCTGCTGGGAGGGGTTCGCATGATGCACTGAGTGTTTCTTCTTCACTCTCTGTGTGTTTTCTACATTTAATTATTAGTTATTATTAATCTCTGTCTCTCTTCCACAGCATGTCTTTGCCCCGTCTTCCTGTCCTCACCTCAGCCGGTCGAAGCACATGGCCTCCCTGAGCCTGATTCTGCCGGAGGTTTCTTCCTGTTAAAAGGGAGTTTTTCCTTCCCACTGTCACCAAAGTGCTTGCCTCACAGGGGGGTTGCCAAATTGTTGGGGTTTTCTCAGTATTGTTGCAGGATCTTTACCTTCAGTATAAAGCAGCTTGAGATGACTGTTGTTGTGATTTAATGTAAATTAAATCGAAGTGAATTGAATTGAAAGGTCATCAGGATTCATTTTGTGGAAAAGCATGAATGTTTCTGTAACTTTTTCCATGCATGTCCTGCAGCTGTGAACTTTTCTAGTCATTACCCAGCAACACTAACTAGTACAAAGTCTCTGTGTTGATGTGATTTGAAACAGCACTGAAGCATGCTGTGTGCCGCATATGAGAAAAGGTTTCTTTGGACAATGATTCTCCTGACTCTGTCTGAAGTTCATGTGTGAAAACAGTTTACGTGTGTGAAGACTTCCAGCCATTCAGACCCTATTATAGAAAAGTACCAAAACAAAGGTCACTGGTCTTGCTCGAGTTATTTGAAGCAAACGATCTATAGCCCTTTTCATTACAGATCGCTCGACGCAGTTTTTACGATTTTCCGTTAAGTGGTATTATCTGGTCCCAGGTACTTTTTTTATCTACTCGGTCGAGACTCCAGGATGCTTCTTCACATCCAGCTAGCAGTGGGGATTCCCAGACAGATATGAAATGGTGTTACTCGTCAACTCAGGTGACCCTGATGGCTCAGACCTCAACAGCTATACTTTATGTAAAAAATACCATCAGATTCAATGAGTTGTGGAGGTAAATAAGAAAATAACATTTCCCATCACTTCAAGCCTTCATGTTTTTCATGCGAAGCTACTTGCCTCCCAGCAAGTATAGAGTGCTTTTATGTTCTGTTTTTTCTGACGTACACTGATGATATTTTGCCATTAATGCAAAAGACACTGAGTTTATGAGCAAAAATGCACCATGCTAAGGCTTCACATTTACTGCACAAGCATGACAGAGATGTGTAAGTACAGAAAAGGCTGTCCTTGCTTGTCTGTTTGCCATCCATCCATTCTGGGGACATGTGGGATGACTTTAAATTTCAAAGAGACATTTAAATGCTGGCTCATTAAAGTCGGACAAGCACGAAAAAAAAAAGAGCTGGCAGTTTGGACTGACTGCAGAATGACATCATCCCATTTATCATGGCCTGCATGACCGTAATGACTACTTATAGTAAAGTGACAAATGGCCTCCCACTTAGCTGCCTGGCAACTGTCTTCATTATGCCTGAAATCACTATGATCACGTTCAGGAGCAGACAACATGGACAAAGCCTAAGCTGACTGTGCTGCCTATAAAGTACGGACTCCACGTTTGATTATTATACCTTTTACTGTTTATGTGCTCAATTTTGTTCCCTCTCTTCCACTTATTGTATTTTAAGCCATGTTTGCATGCAAAGCCCGGAGGCTCCGTTTGCTCCGTTTCAGAGGAATTTGGGGCTTTCCGTGCTTTTAATGCTGAAAAGGGTGACATAAGCCCCACCACGAATTATGAAAACTCTCTCATGTTTTCACCCATAATCCAAAGCATCCACTGGGGGCAGGATGATGAGAGATTACAGAGGCAAACGCACGTCTTCAGGGTGAATGTCCTCTTATCCAGTTCCACATCCACCAACGCCACCACAAATTTGAAAACACAGACGGTTAAAGTTTCTAAACCTTCCGTTTGGGCAGATTAAAGACATTTTTCAGCGTGGGCAAAGTGTCATTTGGAGAATTGTGGATTAATCCTTTTGAGAATTAAGTTTAAGTTTGTTTTTTGGCTGATCCAACTTGGATTATTTTAAGAAAACGGAGCTCTGAATAAAGAAGGAAACTCCGTGTCGCTGCGTCACTCTGCTGTATATCTGCCAACCACGCACTCTGGGGGCACGAGATAAGACAATGCTCTGTGTGTCAGAGTGTGCGTGCTAACGGCTGACCTCAAATAAGGCTTACAGATGTGGAAGGGCATGGCCGCTACAAACTGTCCATGGTGCACATCTGTCAGGGAGAGCTCAGTGACGCTTGACTCAACGTGCAGACAAAACACTCTCCCTCAGTGAATGAGTGACAAGACAAAAGAGAAAGCTGGTTTTTGGTTTGGTTGATCTTTAATCCTCAGAGTTTGTACTGATCACACTTTGTACTTTCAGTAAAATGAGTTTGTAAATTTGCAAGATATGATTTTTTTGTGAGAATACATCTTTCACATTCACTGATACTGTGTAAAGTATAAAAACATGTGGTAGGTCCTTTGTTTCCTTGGCTGTTAGTTACACATCTGAGACCTCTGAGAAAAACTTGGAGTTTCATGTATAACCTTAACTTCCTCCTCGGCACAGAGTACAACGTAAACATGTCGCACCTGCAGCTTCTAAAGTCAAATCAGCATCAGCCAGTGAGCATTGTAAACAGGAAGCAGCAGGAAATGAACAGATGTGCCATTACAGCACGTCTGCCCGAAGTAAATAGCAGGTATTTCTCCACGTGAACACCTGAGACCACAAGACGTGCAGCAGGAACCTGTATTTCTTGTATCAGCAGATTTCCAGTGTAACAGCCTGAAGTTACAGCAGCATCTTTTTAATCATCTCTTTCCTGTTACAGATGCCAAACAACTTTTCAGTGCTGTGCGCTGGACTGTTCGAACACAGCGCTGTTATAGCTTCTGCCTTTAATTAATCATAAATCTTTCCTTCCTCTTGTTACCCGCTCTTTCCAGCCCTCCTACCCACATTCAGAACATCCCACTTACTTCAACTCCATGGCTGCTCTCCTCTTCTGTTCTCTCTCTTCACCGAGGCGGAAAACAAATGCTGCTCTTCGTCACCTAATTCTCCACATGTATGATATGCTGTATTATGTCCAGGAGGCAGTGACAAGAAGGCATGTGAGAGGCCTGAGCTGCTACAATAATCCAAACAGACTGACAGGAGGCCAACGGGTGAGCGGAGACGGAGGGGGAGGACAGTACAGTGGTGTAGAGGAAGACAACAGACCAATCACAGGAGCTAGGGAGGCTGAAGAAGGCTGGGCTTAAAGCCTGTGCTGCTCTTTAACCCCCAGTGAGGGCAGAAGCTCAACTAGCATGGAGCAGAGACAGATAAGGAGTGACAGAGGACGGGGCTGCTGACAGAAACAGACACAATCAAATGTGCCAGCAGTGGCCAAAGGATTTCATTATTTGCAGAGTCCAAATGCTGTCCCAGGTGCAAAACTCCCTAAATGACACAAAAGTAATTAAAGCTAGTAATTTTTACATTAAGATGTTAGTGCGAAGGCACAGGACACCACTCCCACCTTTTTACGAGGAGTTTCATCCTGATTTGAGGTAAAGGTGCTACAAGTTGCACTAGAAAAACTATCAAAGCAAAAATGTCTGCACAGAGTAGTTTAACTAGATAAACTAAGAGTTAAAACAAACTGCAGGCAGATCCAAAACTCACTGATCCAAACGTTAAAGAGCAACAGCCAACCAAAGTCATAGTAATTGAAACAAGATGGTCCCAGAAAGCCATAATAACTGTAACAGTCCTCTAAGTGATGACCACAGTGCAATCATATGCTGAACACTACGGTTCAAAGAGCAGAAATGCAGTTATTAATCAGCGGTGCGTTGGTATCTGTTTGCCTCCAGATGAGGCAAAGTTGGAAGATAAGTTCAACATGAAGCAGACGTTATGTGTGCAGTCATTCCTCCAGCGAAAAAGAACCTAAAACCTCCAAAATGACCATGAAATTCATGCTCACGGATGTAAACTTACGACCACAGCTGCACATATGAGGCTCTAAAATTCCTTTTCAGTTTTCCATTCAGCACCATGAATCTTAATATGCAGGCTTATTTTTTAGTATAAACGGCTCAACTGTGTTTTAGTGTGATCTTACTGATTGTTTTTGTTTCACGTTTCCAAAAACACGATAATAAAATGAGCATCCTGTTCTGACGCTTGCAGCCAAGAGGGCAGCCTTCCTCTTATTGTTTGCACATCTTTCACGTTTATACCTTGGCAGAGACACATTAGCTGTTCCACCATAACAAAAAAATCACTCATGATGTGTTATCGGGCTGTATACACCCACACCCACACTTTCCTACAGACAGGAAGACACTCTCACATAACACAGACATGTAGCTCCCCCCAGAGTGGTTCCTATTTCTTGAAAGCTTTAATCTTATTGGCAGGCAAAAACAAATGTTTGTGGTAATTATCCAAATGCATCTGCTTCCCCCCGACTCCCACTTAAATGGATTACTTAAGCATAGAAAATGACGTTATACAGTAACAGGAGCACTGTGATTCAATCCTCTTTCAGATTTATTTCACTGTGTCACACAGAGTAACAGGAAACCACCAGCTGAATATGTGAAAGAAGAAGAAGAAATGCGATGTAACTACTGATCTTTTAATCTGTAATGGCTCGTTGCATTGTATGCTAAATCTAACAAACAAGTTCCTTGAGACATGCTTCAGTATTTTCTCCTAAATACTGACTAAATACTGTTTTCTCAACCTGAACAATAAAGAAAAGTGAAAGAACAATTTAAGATGATTATTACTTGCTATGAATAACCCATTTTGATTGATTAATGTTTTGTCTTCATTGCTCTCCAGAAAGGTAAATAAACGTAAAACTGCTAATTAGTTTAAGCAGACCATCTCTAAGCTCACGTGTTTATTTTGGTTATTAGGCTGGTTCAGGTTCCTCTTACATTGCAGTCTCCTCCCTTCCTTTCAACCTCCACTCACATCTTGCATCAGGTGACCTCCATAGGTCACATGACAGGGTGGGAAACTGTGCATTACTTGATAAGAAAGACGTATGATGTCATCACTATTGTACTGTATCCTGTATTGTGACTGACAATACCCTTGACACAAAAAATATATATGTTTGCAGCCTTAATGCTCATAATGGTACAAATGGCTCTCTGTGCAAATATGTTCAAAGATAGTAAGTGAAAGGTTTTCACAGCACATATAACTACAATGTGTGTTGCCTTTAACTTGTAGCATTACATCAGAGCTCCTCATTATTTGGAGATGACCAAAAGATAATGTCACCTCTTGCATGCTAGATCAGAAATAGATCAGAAGGATTTTTATGACTGATACCGATATTTGGTGATTTAAAAATTCCATATGTATGGAATCTGGAGAACCTGTTTATAACACATAAACAGATTCTCCAATCATTCGGTACGTGTAATTATTTATTTACTTATTCCCACTCCGCTTGAATCTGCTCAGATTAGCTGTTAGTTGTTGTGCGCGGAAAACTGCAGAGTGCCCCCTGGTGGACACACCATGCAACATCAGCACTAATAGTAGGCTCACCAACACACTTCATGCACATAATCTACAATGTGTTTGTTTGCCCTTTCAAAAACGATGTCACTCAGAAGTCCTTCGTTCTCCTGTTGATTTGCAGTCACAGAAATGATTCAGATGCACTCAGAGCTACTACAGAGTAAAGAGTGACTAAGCTGGTTGTTGTTCTAGCTTAATCACTTAGCTTTAACCACACAGACTCTGAGCTCTGGCAGAGCTCAAAGCGCTGGGTCCATTGATCCTGAGGGGTGACAATGTCACAGTGCAGCAGTGCAGAACAGCAAGCCTTCGGGGTTTTAGTCACTGTACGAGAAAAACATCAATACTAACACCACCAGCCGACATGTAATGGAAAAACATGCCAGTCGATATCGGGGTTATTTGCTGACTGATACTGTAACAAAGCTACATTTGCCTTAATGAGCGTCTATGTTGCAAATGATCTTAAAATTTTCTATATATTTATGGCTAAACAGATGTTTTGTCATGAAACTTGCTATTAGGTTTGTGCTACTTTATTGCTTATTCATAGTTTTTTTTCTCTCACATGTATTCTCATATTCAAACTTTGTATATTTAAAAACAGTAAGTAATTTCTTTGACGTGGATGAGAATGAGGGATGGATTTGAGGGAAAATAAGTGTTTTGCAACTGCTGACACTACACACTGCATATCAAGACAATGTACCTCAACTATTCTTTAAGTATCACGAGTGATTAAACACATTTATTGACAAAATGCATTCTACATTTCACTAAAGACTGTTCACTGTGTAGACAAACTGTTCAATGTAAATTTAATCTGAAGGACTTTCTTTTAAGGACTCCAGTTTAGCTCCCAGGGTGAGCAGGGAGCGATACGTTGGCCAGGGTTTGACTCTGACCTGCGGCCCTTTGCTGCACTCTCTGCTTTCCTTTCCACTCTTTACTTCACTATCCAATAAAAGCAAAAACAACATTTTAAACTGTCGTTTCATACAGAAACAGTAAGTGTTGCACTGATCGGAGTCAGGATTCTGTGCACAGAGTGGGAATTTTTTGAGGATTACGGTAACTCGATGCAGAGTTAGAGGTGTTTCGGATTTGTGTTATTCCCTGTTTTATCTTTTTAAGATTGTTGCTTGGACGTGCTGCCTTTACCCCCAAAAGTTATTTCATGGACATATGTGGGTTCCTTCATCACTACTTCGTCATTAAGAGGAATTGAGAAGTAGTGATGTGTAGAGACTCCTAGGGTGGCTTTTGCATTTTGAAGGTGCAAAACAGAAACAGAAGGTCTAGGCCAGGGGTGGAGAACTCCAGGCCTCAAGGACCAGTGTCCTGCAGGTTTTAGATATCACCATGGGTCAACACATCTGAATCAAACAATTAGTTCATTAGCAGGCCTCTGGAGAACATCGAGACATGTTGAGGATGTAATTGCCCATATAAATCAACTGTGTTGGATCAAGTACACATCTAAAACCTGCATGACACTGGCTCTTGAGGCCTGGAGTTCCCCCAACCCTGGTCTAGGCTGTAAAAAATGAAAATAACAAACCAATCAGGCTAAGAGCAGAAACACTAGCAGTGAAAACATTTAAATCAAATCTTGGGGGGAAAACAACAAAAGAAAAAATAGACAGAGATGAGCTTGGAAACAAAGACTCCTGGACATCTATGGAAGACAAGAATGGTGGATGACCACACATCCATTAAAATGAAGAAACCTCTATATGGTTAGACACATAATAATCCCATAAAGAGAAGAATTCACAACAATAATCACAGAGGTTTCAACAAACTATTCATCAGACTTAAGAACACAAAGCCCAGATGACACGATTCATTTCCCAGTTTACCTTTTCTGGACAGATGAGACTAATGTCAGCTTCAATCAAAACGATGAGGTAGGCTCGGAACAGCTCACGATCAGGTGGGATGTGATGGATGGGCACGTGTGGCGTCCGGTGCCACTTAGTCACATGATGGGAAAAAGAAGCTTGAAGATGAATTCCTTCTTTCCAAAACACTCACGTTTCCCGATTAGCACGAGGATGATGCTCCACTGCAGCGGTGGCAGAACTGTGCAGCCCTTACCACACCACTTTCTACTTTTTGTTCTCACAACCATTTACTGCATTGAAGCATCTCTGATGTCACAACAGAAAGAACAGCCCGCCATAGGAAAACTACTGCTCGGACATCAAAGACTCTCTCGCACAGAGCCAGGATAAGAGAGAGGAGTGGACAGGCTTATGTAATCACACATTAATCCATGACAATGACATGAATGTGGCTTGCTGATGAGCCATTGAGACAATCCACTGTGAATAATGATGGCAATGTCGTAGAAACTCCCAAAATGAATGTAAAACCCCAGCAATGTAACGGACTTCTCTGGTCACATTTGATCAAAGGATTCATTTG